ACTTCTCCAAGGGGCTGCGGGAAGTGATTGAGAAATACCGCCCGGTGCCGACTGCTGCTGCCTACTCCAGCCCCCGGCCCGCAGAGCCCAGCCTGGACCCCAGCTCGCTCTAGCCCTCCTCCCTGGACCAAGGGCAGATCCCGGGCAGGACCCATAGACTGTAGGTAGGAAGCAGCTTCCCTGGTACCACCAGCACATTGTCAGGGTGCCCAGGCCCTGGTGGGGCGCAGCAAGGTGGAGAGGGTGCTCTGGGAATCCCTGCTGCAGCCCTGCTCATCACACTAATAAACCACCTGACTCTAACCACATGGCCTCATTGCTTGGAGGACATGTCCATGCTGGGTTGATGGAAAGGAGGCAGCTGATGCTGCTGCCCAGCTTGGGTCCTTGGGAGCAGAAGCTGCTTAGTACAGTGCCGGAGGGCTCAGAGTGACTGTGCTGCCGCTGCTTAGGTGGGTCACTTGTTTCACTCGATGCAGGGACCCCGCAGAAAGGGCAAAGCTCACAGAGCCCAGGGCTCCCTGGAAAAGGGTGTTTGTACTCACTGGTGCTCCTCAGAGTGGAGGAAAGTGAAGCAGGGGTTGGCACAAAGGTGCAAGGAGGAGCAGAACCACCTTGGTCAGAGTTTATTGCGAGTTCCTGAAGCACTGTGTGCCCTGGCAGTGGGATTGTTGTGGTAGTGGTGATAAGTCTCCCTCAGTAGGAGCAGAAGTGGTGGGAGCCAAAGTAGAGGTGAGCAGGACCCAGCCTCCCCCCACTGCTGCTCCTCATAGCCTGCTCAGGCCATGTGTGTGTGGGGCTGAGGGAAAGTGCTGGGGATTGCTCCCTGCCTGGGAGGGAAGCAGCTGCTGCCTCAGACAGGGAGGAGGCAAGGCAGGAAGCCACAAGGGAGGAGGTGGCTGCAGCAGGTGCACAATGCCTCTCCCACAAGGACAGAGTCCCCCAGCCCATGCCCCTCATCCTGTCCAGGCAGGGGAAGGCTGCAGGCATGACAGATCCGTGGTGTAGCCAAGCAGCAGCGAGGACAGGCTGTGTAAGGTGCCGGCGGTGAGGGCAGGTGGGTGGTGAGAGCAGCTGGAGCGCCGGGTGCTACCTCTGCAGCTCTTAGTAAGGCTGGTTCTTAATGAAGCGGCAGAACATGGTGAAGGCAGCAAGCGGCCGGTCTGTGGGCACCATGTGGCCAGCTCCCTGTAGGAAAGGGACAGCGGTTGGCAGTGCAGCAGGAGTGCTGCCACAGTCCAGCTAACACCACCCAACCCTGACTGCAGCCTTGGTATCCAGCACACCCACCCATAGCCCCATCCCTGGCCCCCAGAGCCCTCAGGCCCTACCTTGACAGTGAGGAAAGCGATGTTGGTGAATTCCTTCACAAAGCCACCAATCTGGTTCTCACCGTTTTCAGTATAGAGCCAGGGCCGGCGAGCCACCTGCACCTGGGAGTAGCAGCAGTGCCTTCAGCACCTGCAGCTGGCCCTGCCCATGCTCCTGCCACAACCAGCTACAGCACATAGCCTGGAGCCAGTGCCTGGCCTGAGCCCTGCCCATTTACCTTCTGGCACAGGGAATCCACAAACCACTCATCTCCGAGAAAGTTGCAAGCCATGTCAACGTCCCCATTGTATACCAGGATCCGGTATTTCTGTGTAGCAGACAGACAGTGAGCTGTTGGGAGGGCAGCAGCCCCAGCCAGGTAGAAGGCTGAGCTGGCAGAGACACTCCCAGAGTCTGTGGGCTCCCCTGTACACACCGTGGCTCCAAGCAGCTTGAGGTACTGCTCATTCATCTGCATGAACAGGCGCTTGTAGCTGCGGTTCACCTCGAAGCTGTGGAGGAAGCATTGGCAGCACGTCTGCTCCTTCTCAGAGCATTCCTTCCCTGCCCACAGCTTGCTCACCTGCACACCTGCCACTCTGGGGCCTCGGGGGAGATGTGCAGAGCCTTCCGCACTTCAGGGGAGTTCAGATACACGCTAGGGGCTGTGGAGTTGGTGCAGGGCGGGTCCATCCGGACTTTCTTTCGGGCTACTGGCATCCGGAACAGGTTCTGGGAGAGTCGGGAGAGTCACTGTCTGCCCCTTCTGCCCACAACAGCACAACTGGCCAGAGGCTGCTCACAGCCCAGCAGCACCTCAGCTCACCTGCCGCCAGGAGAATCTCAGTGGCATCCGGATGAAGGAGTTGCCCAGGTCATGTGTGATGAGATAATCACCCTCATATCTGTAGCCAGAATGAGTATGAGGACAGACTGAAAACCCTGGAGAACAACGGCTAAGGGTTCTCCTGAGGGGAGTCCTCAGCAGCAGCCACACAACCATCCAGGTGTCCCAGAGGGGCCCCCAGCCCAGCCCACCAGGTCCCTCTGAGCCAGTGCAACCAAAGCAAGCTGGTGCCTATAGAACTATTTTCCCTGGGGCTACTCTCACCTCATGCTCCCTGGGACACCTCCATCGCACGGGGCATAGAGGTTGTAGATATTTAGGCCAGACTCCTCTACAATCTGAATCATTTCCCCCATCTGCAAGGAATCGCAAGAAGGGTTTGGGACTCAGCAGGACCCTTGTGGACCTGTGGGCCCAGGCACGTTCAGCTCAGCACAGGTATAGGGGCTCCAGCTCCCTCACCTTGAGTGTGCAGTTCAGGTTGGAGTTGTCATGGAAGTTGCACTTCCCCTGGGAGCAGCAAAAGGCCTGCAGGTCTTTCCACAGCCTGCAGGCAGAGACCAGGACCACTTGGACCAGCTGGCAACACTGACATGACAGCTGCCCTGCAGCTCTCTGCCCAGTGGCCACAAGGCACAGAGCTTGGCCCTGTGCCCTCCTTACCCCACAAATGCACCCATGGGAGCTACCTGGGACAAGGAGCCACAGCCCAGATGCTGACCCAGGGCAGGCTACGTGTGCCCTTGTCTCAACACCACCGACCCAGACAGCCCCAGCCTCAGCTGTGCACCCATCCTGCTTGCACAGGGATGGCACATCCAGCATTCCCTCTGCTCTTACTCTGTCCCCAGCAGCCCGTGGTAATAGGCAAAGTAAACCAGGGAGTTGTCATTGATCTCATAAGATGAGAGGCCGTTTCCCACAGCGATTCCCTGCGAGGCAAGAAGAAAACAACCCTGTTGTGTTCCAGCTCCCCGCAGGGCAGTCACAGCACAGCAGCCGCAGGCAGGAAGCAGATGTGGAACTGTTTACTCTGCGGAGGGAACAGGGAGGGTTGGGGGTGCCTGAGGACACTCCCCTGGCAGCAGGGACAGACACGTCCACCAGCAGCTGCTGCCAGAACCCCAGGAAGAGATGAAAGACTGCAGGGCCAGGCGTGCCCTACATCCCGGCTGGTCCCACCCCAGCCCTCTGCTCCCCGGCTGGGCAGAGCCAAGCTGCCCACCTTCAGGTTGAGGCTGGGGTCCTGCATCACCCACTCTGCCAGTGTGGGAATGTAGACCCCTCCATAGCTCTCCCCTGTGAGGAAGAGATCATTCTTGGAGTACTCGGGGAAGAGCCGGAGGAAGTCCTTCAGTGCCAGGTAGTTGTTATGAGCAACCTGCAGGGAGAAGGTGGCATGGTCAGGTGTGAGGCTGAACCCCATGGCCAGGAGTGGGCAGGCAGGGGAGCAGGGCTCTCCCAGTCACTCGCCTCTGTGTCATTTGTGCCATAATTCTTGTCATCGGAGTATGAGAAGCCAACACCAGCGGGAGACTCCAGGTAGAGAATGTTGGCAATCTGCAAGGACACCACGGGAGCCAGCAATCAGGGGAGACCCTCTGCCTCAGTGGGGCCAAGGACTGCTAGCCCCACCCATGGCAGCGCCCACAGGAGTGTGGCCCGCCCCAGGGCTGCACTGGGGTGGCCACATTCCTGTGCTGCTCAACAGCAGACTCGAGAGGAGGGTGTGTTGGGCGGGAGGGGAGCAGCAGCAGGTCCATGGAGAGAGCAGGAGGAACTGGCTCACAGCCACCCTATCTCGAAGCCACAAAGGGAAGCAGTGCCTGTACCTTGTTCCATGCGTACTCATTGTACTTCAGTGTGACCCCATCGGGCTGGATCTGAGGAAGAAGATGGTGACTGATGGGCAAAGCAGGGCAGGACACAGCGGGATGGCTCGTGCCACGCAGCCGGTCATCCCCTGAGCCCTTGAGCCACAGGATAGCAGTGACTACTAACCAGGAAGGGGCCGTGCTCCTTGAGAAAGCCCTCCATGGAGCTGCAGCCAGGGCCCCCGTTCAGCCACAGGACCAGAGGGCTGCTCTGGGGATTACTCTGGGCCTCCACGAACCTGTGGACGTGTAGCTGTGAGTGCCCAGTGCCAGCCGATGCCCCCCCATCGCAGGCGCAGTCCCACGTACCAGTAGTGCAGGTACTTGCCCGGCCCGGCGCAGAGGTAGCCCGAGAAGTGGCGGAAGGAGGGCTGCTTTGACAGCCCGGGCAGGTAGGTCACCTCATGGTCCGGGGGAGCGGCCTGGCCCAACCCCAGCAGCAGCAGCGACGACAGCAGCACTGGCCCCATCTGCGGTGGGCGGAAGGGACGGTCAGGGTGCTGTCGGCCAGGAACGGCCGCGGCAGCGCCCCGCGAGCGCCCCGGCCCGGCACTCGGGGCTGACCCCCGGCCCGGCACTCGGGGCTGACCCCGGCCCGGCACTCGGGGCTGACCCCGGCCCGGCACTCGGGGCTGACCCCCGGCCCGGCCGGCTCCCGTGGCGCCGGTGCCGGTCCCTCCACCCCGTTCCCCGGTCCCGTCCCAGCGCCCCCCCGGTCCCGCTGACCGCGGCCGCTCCCGGCGCGGGGCTCGCAGGCGGCGGTCACGGCGGGCACATGACACGCGCCCATATGACCTGCGGGGCTGACGTCAGCGGGGCGGGGCCCGGCGGCGGCCAATCAGCGCTCCGGTCCCGCCCCGGCCCCGCCCCGCCCCGGCCCCGCCCGCGCACGTGGGAGCGGCCCCGGCACCGGGACCGGGACACCGGAGGCGGGGGGGAAGGCACCGACAGAGACCCCGCACCCGAACGGGGGCAGCCGGGGGGTGCGGTGCGCCGGTGGGCACCGCAGCTGGGTGCCACCCAGCAGTGCTGGGTAAAGCCGGGCATCACCAGGCCCTGCCGGTCAGCACCGTGTGATGGCCACTGCTGGCTATAGCTGGTACCACTGGGCACCACCGGGCACTGCCTGCTGCTGCTGGACAGCATGGGCACAGCCAGGCACCCCAGGTGGCAGCGCTAGACAGTCCAGTGTGGAATGTCTGTAGGTCTAGTTTGGGCCCGGTTGTGCCCAGCAGCCACATGGCCCCCCCAACCTCCCCCATGGCACTAGGACCCCCCTGGAACCCTCTGGTTGTCCCTCCCAGGCGGGCTGTCACCACCTCACAGCAGCTGTGACAGGGACAGTTAAAAATAGCTCCGGCAGCAATGGCTGCCCGGTGCAGGCTTGCTGCACGCTTCCACCACATCCACGGCGCCAACATCCGCCTGGATGCCTCACACACGCAAGCCACACGCGTGGAGAGCTTCGCCAACGGGCTCTGCTTCAGCCAGGAGCCTCTGGCACCCGGGCAGATCTTCCTGGTGGAGATTGAGGAGAAGGAGCTGGGCTGGTGCGGGCACTTGCGTGTGGGACTGACAGCCCATGATCCCCAGAGCCTGGAGGTAGTGCCCGAGTACTCGCTGCCGGACCTGGTCAACCTGGGGGACACCTGGGTGTTTGCCATCACCCGCAACCACAACCGTGTGGTGGTGGAGGGGGAGGAGGTGCAGGCGCGGGGGCAGCCCTGGGAGCCCTTCCTGCTGATCGAGCGGGTGCGGATCCCCCGTGACACGCTGGTGGGGCGCAGCCGGCCCGGCCGCTACAGCCACATCCTGGATGACCTGTACAAGATGAACGTGCTGCCCGCGACCGCCCGGCGCAGCCGCATCGGGGTGCTGTACGCCCCGCAGCCCGACGGCACCGCCGACATGCACATCGTCATCAACGGCGAGGACATGGGGCCGAGCGCCAGGGGCCTGCCCACCACCCGCCCGCTCTACGCCGTCATTGACGTCTTTGCTTCCACCAAGAGTGTCCGGGTGATCCCGGTGGATTATGGCTGTAGGTACCTGTGCCCTTCCCTGCGGCATGTGCTGCGTGGGCCAGGAGTGGGGGAGATCTGGTGGGGTCATGCCATAGTCGCCAACAGAGGGAAGGTTGGCGTGTGCCACTGGGCAGAGGGACGTGGGGTAAGAGGGTGCAAGAAAGCCTCTGGTCCTTGTGGAGCACAGGTGAGATCCGCAGTAGCGCTGCTGGGCAGTGTCTGATGAAAGCTCTGCCATGGGCGCTGTGCTGGGGCCAGGGGAGAGACCCCCAGCAGCAGCAGCACTCAGGCAGACCCCCCTGGCCACCCTTCCCAAGCAGTGATAGGGTCGGGTGTTTCGGGCTGTCCCACAGCTGGCAGGCCTCGCTGTGCCTAGCCTTGCCTGGAGCACGTGGCAGCCAGAGCCAGCTAAGATCCTGCCCTGGCACCAAAACATCCACCTACATCCACCACGGCTCAGCACACTGCGCCCACGCACCTGCCACGTGCCCCAGACACGGTGTTCCCTGGGCAGACACCCTGTGATGCCATCGGGGCCTGGGCATTTTCCCGTGTCCCTTGGCTTGCTGGGAGGGACCAGGCTAATAAGTGCTAATTAGCAGCATGCTGGAAAAATGAGGAGATGGATCAGGTGAGACAGAGGCAGAAGAAGAGCTAGAGCCAGAGTACTGCCTGCCACCAGCACTGGGAGGTACTGCTTCTCATGCTGGTGTTAAGAGCAGCTGCTTCTGTGCCAAGGCTGGAACCTGGTATTCTCCCTGGTGTAACAGCTGAGGAGTAGTGGCTGCAGCAGGCAGTACCCATGCTCCTGGGCCACCCATGGCTCTGGGAAGTTGTATCACAGGAGTAGGAACCAGGCAGATTCTGTGGAAGTGCCCAAGGGGATGGTTCTCATGCGGTCTGCCCCAAAGGTACTGTGGGTGCTGTCTCTGCAGACAGTGCAGCCCCAGCCCGCAGACACTCACCCAGCAGCCTGGCTCTGGGGCCAGTACAGGCAGACCAAGGGAGTGGGATGGAAAAAAAGCACAGCACGGCTATGTGAGACCCTGGAGAGTTGCTTGACAGCCACCAGAGAAAGAAATGCAAACCAAGCACGGTCACACACGGCTTGGGCACATAACTGTCTCTCAACCTTCCTCCTAATAACGGGGAGAGCTTTGCTGCCCGGGGCCCTTGAGCTACCAGCCCTGCTGGAGCAGCCTGGCACCAGCCCCAGCACAGCCAGTTTAAGCCCAGGGCAGGACGATGCCACAGAACAAACTCACCCACTACTGCCTTTAACCACAGTGCCTCTGCCAGCTCCTCCACCCCGCTGTGCTCAGCCTCACTGCCGACTTGCCCGGCTCAGGTACCCTCTGTGTTCTCTTGCAGTTCCTTCCCTGCAGACGCTGTGCCGGCTGGTTATCCAGAAACACATCGTGCACCGCCTGGCCATCGATGGCCTGCACTTGCCCCCGCTACTCAAGAGCTTCTGCCAACACGAGTGAGGTACCGAGGGTGCTGCTGGCTGCCCCCACATCAGCAGCCCCCAGTGCTGGCTGCCCGGCAGGCTCCATGCCCCTCCCTGCCCACTCAGCCCAGCATGTGCTGCTCAAGGGCTGACATGAAAGCAGAGCAAAGCGGGGTTGGGATTTCCCCACACAGACGGTGTGGCATGCCCAGAGCATGAGCAGGGGGATTGATGTGGGTCAGAGAGAGCAATAAAGTGCTTCCAGACAAGATTCTGTCAAAGGAGGCTTGGGGGGGCTGGGACACCCCTGTGCTTCAGCAGCCCCTTGTGGGAGCAGTTCCCCCACCAGAGAGGAAGGGAGCACAGGCCACAGCCCTGTGGGGCTCAGGACGTGTCCCCGGCCCTGGAATTATGCTGGGACTGTGTGGGTGGATCAGAGTGGGTGGAGTGTGGGAGGGCACAGCACAGCACTCACGTGGAGGTAAATTACAGCCGGACGCTCATCCTGGCAGTTTCACTCTTGGGAAAGATGTTTACCCAGAGAAAGAGGTATTTCCTGTGTGTTCAGCTTGGAGGGAGACGAGTCAGATCCCGGAGCACCCAAACAGCAATGCTGGCAGCAGCCCTTGCTTGGGCACGTGTCTCCAGTCACAGTGACCTGGTGCAGGGCACAGCCATCCTGACTTGGAGCTTCATGCCCTCGGCTCTGTGCCCTCAGCCAGACCCTTCAGCTCCTGGCAGGTGGGGATGGCAGCCGGCATCCTGCAGTGCCCATGCCAGGCTGGAGGGGAGGCAGGGTGGAAGCTGTGCAGAGGAACAGGCTGGAGGGTAGAGGTCTCCTAAAATCAGAGGGGTTCCCATGGGAGCCAGAAAGACAGCAAAGAGGCTGGCAAAGCACAATTAAAGGGGAAACAAGCAGCTCTAAGCTTACAAAAAGGTGTTTTCGAGAAACACGATGCTATATTTAGTTGGAGACTCGATAGTATCAGATCATGTTACAAAACTCGTGCTCAAAGGAAATCCCCAGTCCACAACCACAGCCAACTCCATCAACACCAAAGTGTTAATGAAGGAACTGCTAAATGGGCAAAACATGGACAGTGACCAAACTACAGCGATGGAGCGAGGTCACTGACATTCCCTGCTATGTCCCAACAACAGGCTGGGAGCTGCTGGGGCTGGAGCTCATCTGGCTGCGATGGGGCTGGGGAACTCACCCACTCCAGAGCAGTGCCCACAGACGAGGGCGCTTCGTTTACTCTCCAGGCTGTTTTCCCTTCCCCAGCCTTGCACGAAGCCTTTGCTCCCCACCTCCCTGCAGTGTTATCCGCCCAGCAGTGACCCCCCGCACACGAGGGCGGGTTCCTCTTTCTTGAGGAATTGAGAGCAGCTGCTGCAAGCAGACAAACAACAGCCCTGCTCTCTGATGGGCTGCAGGACAGTGGGATTGCAGGGATTCAGGAGCTGCCACCTCCTGCCACCCGAGGCACCACGGTGAGACAGGAGGACTGAGGAGCACTGCCCAAAGCCCTGCCCGATTCCCCATGCCCTGTTCCCTGGCCAGGGAGGGGTGGCTGCAACTGGCACAGGAACAGATTCGGCTCCCAAATAACACGAGGGTGATTTATTGGCTCCGTTGCACAACACCTCACAGCTGGATGCTGCAAGGACCTGCGGGTGCTGGCCACAGATGAAATAGTTTTGTAATGTGTTATTGTACCTAGATCCCTACAAATCTATGGGCCCTTATGGGATTAATTTGAGAAACCACAAGCAACTGGCTGATGTCATCACAAAGACTCTTGATGATTTTTGAGCAGTTTTGGGAATCTGGAGAGGTCCCACATAACTGGAAGCTGGGGAACGATGTCCCGATTTCAAAGGGCAGGAAGGAGAACCCTGGAAACTACAGGCCTGTCAGTCTCACTTCAGTGTCCTGTAAAATCATGGAAAAGATCATTCTGGCAGGTACTGAAAAACACCTGGAGGAGAACACAGTCACTGGTCACAGCCAGCATGGCTTCATGAGGGGAAAGTCCTGCTTGTTGAACATGATTTCCTTCTACAACAGGATAACCCACCTAAGTGACCAAGGAAAGCCAGTAGCTGTAATGTTTTTGGGCTTCAGTGAAGCTTTTGACACTGTCTGTCCCAGTATTCTTTTGGACAATGTCCAGCTTGCAGCTGAATAACCCTGTTACACAATGGGTGAGCCACTGGCTCACAGGTTGGGCACAGAGTTACAGTGAATGAGGTGACATCAGGCTGGTGTCCAGCCACTAGAGAGGTTCTGTAGGGCTCCATCCTTGGCCCAATTCTCTTCAACATCTTCATTAACAACTTGGATTCGGGATTTGAAGGAATACTAAGTAATATACTAATGTTTAGTGCTAAGAACACTAAACTGGGAGGAGTTGTCAACTCCACTGAGAGCAGAGAGGCCTTGCTGAGAGACCTTGACAAATTGGAGAGATCGGTAATCACCAAAAGTATGAAGTTTAACAAGAGCAAGTGTCAGATTCTGCACCTTGTACAGGGCAATCCTGGTGGTATTTACAGACAGGGGAACAAGAAGCTGAAGACCAGCACTGGGGGTCCTAGTTGATGGCAAGTTGAATATGATCAGCAGTGCCCTGGCAGCTGGGGGGCAAATCCTGTCCTGGGGGCATCAGACACAGCATTGCCACCAAGGAAGGGGATTGTCCTGCCCTGCTCTGCACCGGTGCAGCCTCACTTCAAATCCTGGGGGTAGTTTTGGCACAACAATATAAAAAAGAGAACATTCAAAAGATGCCACGGGAACGGTGATGGGACTGGAAGCAAGGCTTTTGAGAAACAGTAGAGGTAACTTGGTCTGTTCAGCCTGGTGAAGAGGAAACTGCAGGAAGACCTCATTGTGATCTTCAGTATCCTCATGAGAGGAAGCAGAGGGGCAGGTACTGATCTCGTCACTGTCACGACCAGTGACAGAACTCAAGGAAATGGTATAAAGCTGAGTCAGGAGAGATTGAGGCAGGATATCAGAAAAAGGTTTTTCACCTAAAGGGTGGTTGAGCACTGGAACAGGCAGCGGGCAATGGGCAGTGGTCATGGCATCAAGCCTGGCTGAGTTCAGGAAGTGTCTGGCCAATGCTCTCAGGCATCTGGTGGGATTTTTGTGGTGTCCTGCACAGGACTGGGAGTTGGACATGATCCAAATGGGTCCCTTCCAACTCAGCAGATTCTAGGATACCAGCACCTCCCACATTGCACCATCCAGAGCTGGCTCCTGGCCACAGCTGTTAGCCAGGTCAGTGACTGTTACCCTCCCTGCAGGATCAGGAGCTCCCAATCCAGTTCCTCTGCTGCCCCATGCAAGAAGTGACGCTCACTCAGCAGATCAAGGACACAAACTGCCCCTTCCACGCTGAGGAAATGACAGGCTGAGGGGAATGAAGGTGCAAGACAGGACATTGTGGAAGCACCCAGCTCAGCTCCCACTCAGTGCTGGAGCTTCACCTCACTGTAGGGCCTGGCCCAGCTGTCAGCTAGCTCCCACAGAGTCCTGTGCTCTAAGTCCTCACTACTGAGCAGGCAGCTGGCTATCTCTGCTGTGAGGAAGAACACCACCAGGGCTTTATCCAAAGACTTGTTCCAGGAGCTCTTTAGTTCCTCCAGGAGGCCATCAGCACTGTCTCACCCAGCCTGATGGGTGAGACCCACCCTCTCCCATGGTCTATTGAGCATTTCCCTCTGCAAGAGCTTCCTGTTTAAATTCAGCACAGCCAAGATGTGCCAGTAGGGCAGCCAGAAGGCCAGGTTGAAGTGGCAAGTGTAGCTACTTGAGCCTTCCTGGAAGATGCCCACAGGGTAGGCATCCCCCTGGATCTGTACACTGAGCCTGTCCTACCTGGTGCAAACCAGCTGCCTGGACTTCCGAACCACTGCCTGAGGCACACTGGCAGCAGCATCTGTGCAAAAGCCACTCAAAGACTGCCTGACACTATCTTCAGTCCTCTGGGTAATCAAATCTTCACTGTCATCCTCTGAGGTTTCTGTGGGCTCCGGTTTTGCCACAGGATACAGGATCTAACAGGAAACGAGCTTGCTGGCTCACTCTAGAGAAGAGCACGAGGTGTTTCAGGCTTACACTGAAGAGCCTCGAGAACAAATCACACGATTAACAACAGGCACAAGAGAGGCTGACACGGGCTGCTGTTTCTGCTGAGCTGCTGCCACAGAGGGGGAAGCCTGGCCAGAGCTCTGTGTTACCCTGGCACACCAGAGGGGCAAGAGGCACATCTGAAATAGGCAGACTTTGGGGAGCTGCCTGAGCAACACAGTGATCAGGATGGGAAGCAGAGAGTGTCATGGTATCAGGAGGGATCTTAGAAACACACTCTTTGTAATGCTGGGTCAAGGTGGTGATGCAGCTCCCCAGAGAAAGCCCAGCACTGAAAATTTGACTTAGCCCATGGATGACAATCTCCAGCTCCATGAGGAAGTCTCTGCTCTCCCCCCAGCTGCCCTATGTGCGTGGCCCAGATCCCATCGTCCAGCAGCCAGTGAGGTGGAGCTGAGGCAGCAAATCCGGCGTGCCGGGGTCCCTCAGGACGGCGAGCAGCTGCTGCCGGTGGCTCTCGGAGCCCGCACCCGTGGCTTTCCCGGTGGCGATCGCGGCCAGCCACTCGGTGCGGCGCCGCAGCCGCTTGTAGGGGGGGAACACCGAGAGCTGCACCGCGGCAGCTGAGCGGCTTGGGCTGCCAGCGCGGGCCCGCTCCGGGCTGCCGCTACCGGCGGGGACATCCCGGTCCCTGCCGCGCTCCGCCGCCGCCTCCCCCGCCCGCGCCAATCGCGGCGGCACCGGAGCGCTCGGGCGCCGCCCGCAGCGGCCGCTGAGCATCGCACCGGGCCGGGACACCGGGAGCGCCACTCGCTGTGGCCGCTGTGCATCGCACCGGGCCGGGACACCGGGAGCGCCCCTCGCTGTGCATCGCACCGGGCCGGGACACCGGGAGCGCCCCTCGCTGTGGATGCCACCCAGAGCGGCGTGCGGGCACCGGCTCTGCCTGGCTGCCTCCCCCTCCTGCCTCCTCCAGTTGCTCCCATCGCTCTGCAGCAGCTCCAGGCTCGGCGACTGGGCTCTCTCTCATGTCTCTCTTCAGCAACAAGTGCACCGCTCTCCGCTATCGCTCCTTGCTCTCCACAAGGAAGGCGTAGAGGATTTGTCGTCCCTTGCCTGGCGCCCAGTGTAGGAGAAGACTCTCAGCAAGTGTTTGAAGAAGCACTTCATCACTTTGGTGTGGAAGCTGATACCCATGTGTTTGTGTCTTTATCCCTAAACCACACGGTTCTGCAGCTGTGGAGGAGCAGGCTAGAACATGACAAGAAATGCTTCAAGGAAGGAGGTTCAATTGTGTTTTAACAAGGCAAGTTATATTTTAAAAGGGCAAAGGGAGCAGTTGCATAACTAGTGAGTGACCTTGTGGCCTTTGTGCACAAAAGCACATCCACTAGCTAAGATGGAAAGGAAAGTGTCACGGCACCCGCTTGGAGAAGTGAAGGCCATGGAATGAAGCGCTCCCTGAGAGAAACCTGGTACCACCTTTGCACTGCAGTCAGGTAAGGACAGCAGGAATGCTGCAGATGCTGATGCTTGAACTCTTGAGCTGGAAAAGGCAGGAGCTGTACAGCGAACACAGCAAGTGTGTGACACAGCTGGTACCGGGGCATCACACTACCGGGATCAGCCCGGTTACCAAAGCCAGGTACGGGACAGGGCCTGTGCCCCGGGACAGCGCTGGGCTGGAGCCGGTGCGGTGCTACACCGGGGGACCCCGGGCGCACGGCCATACCACTGCGAGCTCCAGACGGACGCGGCGGGCGGGCCTTACCTGATGTCCTGGCGGACAGCGGTGCCGTGCTGCCGGTTGTGACTGCGCCCCAGGACGCCGCTCGCAGCTCGCAGAGGCAGCCCTTGTGGGCGAGAATGCGGGGGCCGCCCGGACCCCTCCGCTCGGCCGCCCAAGCGCACCCCGCCATCCCCGTTAAAGCAGCCGGGCACCGCCCGCACCGTGATCTTGACCAATCAGCGCCGTCTTCTCCTGATTGACAGGAGGCGAACCAACCAGCCCAGAGTATCCTGACAAGACAGGGGTGACTGACAGCTCTACCGCCCAATCACATGGCGGTCTGTGCCCCGCGGATGGGCGGTGCTTCCTGGTCCGCCGCGCTGCTCGGGCGGCGGTGCCGGTCCCGGTTCGCGGAGGTGATGGGGACCCTGGGCGATGCCGGCGGGGCTGCAGCGGGGCCGGGATCCGGGCCGCCGCCCAACGGGGACCTGCGCAGCGTGCTGATCACCAGCGTGCTGAACCTGGAGCGGCTGGAGGTCGACCTCTTCAGGTGCGGGTGGACACCGGGGCAGCGGGACCGGGCCGCCTCCTCCTCCGCCGCCGCCGCCCTCACCGTGGCCGCCTTCTCCCCGCAGGGGCCAGCACCACTGGGTGCCCGCCACGCAGCACCTCTTCGGCGGGCAGATCGTGGGGCAGGCGCTGGTGGCGGCAGCCCACGCCGTGAGCCGCGACGAGCAGGTGCACTCGCTGCACTGCTACTTCGTGCGGACAGGTGCGCCCGGGGAACCGGGAACCGGGAACCGGGAACCGGGAACCGGCGGGGTGCAGGCTCCGGGAGGGTCCGGCAGGGGCTGGGACGCTGGGGGAGTTCGCAGTGAGCCGTGAGAAGGCGCCGTCATGCCGGTGCCAGCAGAACAGGCGCTGCCGGCCCCGCCTCTGCAGGGCGGGTTTCGGTGGTGGCCGTGGCCCGGCGGCGGAACGTCCCTGTCCTGTCCCAGGGGACCCCAAGGTGCCGGTGCTGTACGAGGTGGAGCGGACCCGCACAGGGAAGAGTTTCTCTGTTCGCTCTGTAAAGGCCATCCAGCATGGAAAGCCGATCTTCACCTGCCAGGCCTCCTTCCAGCTCTCCCAGGGAAGCCCAGTGCAGCACCAGTTCACCATGCCGACCGTGCCACCCCCCGAGGAGCTGCTGACACAGGAGGAGCTCATCCAGAAGTTCCTGCAGTGAGTGCGGTGGAAGGGACATGCTGGGGATGCACCTTACTGCCTGGGGCATAGGGAGGTGTGGGAGAAGACTATCTGAGAAATTCTCAAATATGCCTGGGAGGGGAAGAGAGGAGCAGGACAAACAGGAGCTATGCAACTCTTGTCTTTCTGTGTGCCCCTGGGTTACTGGGTTGGAGCTCCTGCCAGTAAGATGTGTTCCAACCCACATGTCTGGTGTTAATCTCACTTCTCTGTGCTGTGCTGCAGGAATCCTAATGTGGCTGAGGGATACAGGAAGCGTCTCACCAAGATCCAAGCTCAAGATGTGCCTATTGACATTAAACCTGTGAACCCACCAGATATATTCAGCTCAGAGCCACAGGAGCCGAAGCAGCTCTTCTGGGTGCGAGCACGAGGCTACATAGGTGGGTCCTGCTGGGTCCAGGTGCCTCCCAATCCAAGGGCTTCAGCACCAGCTCACACTGTGGAGCACTCTTGCAACAGGACGGGCTGGGAGGGCTGTGATTAGGGGGCTGCCTGTGCCTAGCCTGGACACTTCAAGGCTGTAATACAGGTGTGGATGCAGAAATGGTGCCATAAGCCACGCTGGGGCATGGCATGGCAAAGGGAATAAGTCTGGAGGAATCTCAGCTGTGCTTGGCAGCTGGCTCCAGGGGAGCGGAGCCCCTGGGGCTCTGCACTCCAGACGTGTCCCACGGGCCCCGGCGGGACAGGCAGCACTGGTTGCTCTGCAGGGGAGACTGACATGAAGGTGCACTGCTGCGTGGCTGCCTACATCTCTGACTACGCCTTCCTGGGCACGGCCCTGCTCCCGCACCGGCAGTACCGCATCAAGTTCATGGTGTCCCTTGACCATTCCATGTGGTTCCACGCGCCCTTCAGAGCTGACCACTGGATGCTGTATGAGTGTGAGAGCCCCTGGGCTGGTAAGTCCTTAGTGCATTTTTGGGAGACCTTCATGGCCAAGGCCAGCCCTGCCTGTCCTGGGGCAGTGGGCTGCAGTCTGACAGTCTCTCTCTGCAGGTGGGTGCCGGGGCTTGGTGCAGGGACGGCTGTGGCGCAGGGATGGGGTCCTGGCTGTCACCTGCGCACAGGAAGGTGTCATCAGGGTGGAACAGACACCAAACCAGAGCAAGCTCTAGCTGAGGAGACCCTATAGACTGGGGCTCAAGCATGCCAAAGGAGGGACACCGAGATCAAGACCTGGACAGGAACAGGACGGAGACCAGGTGGGACCAAGCACTGCAGGAAGTCCCAGTGCCAGAGGTGTCTACGACAGACTGTGACCAACAGAGCATTGCTGCGACCAGCTGTTAGCTGCACAGCATGTAAGCTCACGCTGCCATCAGCTGTCCTTCATCCACCTTAAAATAAAGCCATTGGGTGAAGAGCTGGACTCTGTCCCTGGAGTTTGTCCCCTTGGACCTGTGACTGGGCTTGCACGAGGGCAGGCAGTGCCAGGAGCACAGTGGATCAGCTCTTCCCCCGTGCCAGGCTGGGTCACAGGAGGGGAAGGTGCTACTTTGGCACACATTGTTTCCTCTTCTCACTTCTGTACTGCTTGTACTGCCCTGGCTCCTCAGTCGCTGCTTCTGCTTGTCCTTGGGCTCCTCCCCAGGACTGGACTTGGGCTTGGGCCCAGCTGGGAGCTGGGAGAAGGGGATGAGGCAGCTCCCACCTCAATATGGAGGCTTGAGGCCTCCCACTGATGATGCCCTGGGGTAGTAAGGCTAAACAGACTCAGCAGGCGCCATGCTCTTCTTCCTGCCAAGACTTTATTTAATAAAGTCCTTTCTATTGTGTAAGTTCGATGGGAAGTTCCCGGCAAGAGCCCTGGACCCTGCCAGAAGCTTTCCCGTTCCCTTGCAAGGTGCCAGTATGTCCCAGCTAAAGTCTCAGCCACTCCAGGATCCCCTGCGGAGGGGGAGCAGCTTCTGGCAGCACCAATGTGAGTGGTGGACCCCCTTGAGTCCCCAGCCCCGCTAAACAGACTAACCACAGAGAAAGTGCATTCAGGAGGCAGCTCCAGGCATGGGCGGTGCTCCCCTGCCCCATTGCCACCCATGGCATTTCCCTCGCTGTTGCCAGCAGCCACAGGCCCGTGAGCTCCCCCACAGCCCTCGCCCTCCCGCCCCTGTTAGCACAGGTGGCTCATTCCAGAGGTTCCTTGATCAGGCATTCCTTCAGGGAAGGCTGCTGCTGCAGAGGCAGCCCAGCTTCCCGCAGGTCCTGCAGCCGTGCCTCTGAGCGCCGCTTGTCCTTGCCCACCTTCCAGGCCAGGTGGACGTGAGCCTGCAGGAAGGGTCCCAGGAGCGGGTGGCTGCCCTGGGCCTCCAGCAGCTGCAGCGCCTGCTCGCAGCAGCCATGGGCCTCACTGAGCTGGTCCAGCTCCTGGTGGCAGACGGCCAGCCCGGCCAGGGTCAGCAGGAAGCGGCCGGAGCTGCAGACCCCCAGCCGGTCCTGCAGCCGGTAGGCGTTGGCCCAGGTGGCCAGGGCCTCGCGGTACATGCCGGTGCAGGTCAGGCGCTGCGCGGCCTGCAGGTCCGGCAGGAAGAAGAACTCGAGGAACTCGGGAGAGCGGCGGATCTCGTCGATGGAGTGCAGATGGGACAGGAACTGTTCGAAGGCTCGGCTCCGCTTGGCAATGGTCTCGGCAGTGAAGTTCCGGCGCAGTCTCTTCCTGGGGAATGCAACGCTGGCCATGTTGCAGCTGAAGCGGCAGCGCAGGCGGCGGTTCAGCTGCTCAAAGTCCGAGTAGCGCCGGGCGATGGTGGCAGGGGCCTTGTCAAACTGGCCAGAGCGGATCAGGTAGATGGTGTAGAGCTGTGGGGGAGGCAGGTGTCAGGCAGTGCTGTGGGCACGTTGTTCCCGGCACAAGCACAGCGGGGTGTGCGGCCACAAAGGGGCTGGGGGAGTTTGCCCAAACAGAAGGGAGTGGACTGGGCTGCTGCAGCCGCAGCACCCATCAGCAATAATTACCTGAGGCTCATCTGAGCCGCCAGCACCATCCAAGCAGCACGGAGAAAGAGAAAAAAATAAGCACCAGCCCCGTGGGGTCCCTGCCCCGGGGAGAGCAGGACTCGTACCCACCCCGTGCCCGCCCAGCCGCGCCGGGCTCACTCACCACGTACTTGGAAGAGCGCTCGCTGACCACGCTGGCGCTGGTGACCTCGAAGAGCAGCCGCTGCGGTGCCAGGCTGCCCCGCGACCTCCGCCACAGCTCCTGCAGCTGCCGGGTCAGCAGGCTGCCGCCGGGACGCTCCGCCGCAGAGACCCACTCTGTGTCGGGAGAGGAGCGTCAGTGCCCCCCGTGGGGACAGGGCTCTGACATCTGTCGGGCTGCCGGACGCCACCATCGCATAAGTGTCCCTGGAGTCACCCTAGTCCCCCCAGCTCACCGCCCCAGCACCTGCCTCCGTCCTCCGTGCCTGCTGCCGCCCCCGGCGCCTGCGGCGGCTCCTCCAGCTCCTCGCTAGCTCCGTCCCCCTCCTCCTCTTCCTCCTCGTCCTCGTGGCTGGTGAAGCTCAGGGTGCCGCTGAGGCGCGTCGACAGCCCCTCGGTGTCGTCCTCCAGCTCGGAGCTCTCCGGGCAGTCCTCGGCCTCGCCGCCGCCGCCCGCCGGCTCCTCCCGGCCGCCCTCGCCCGCCAGCGCGTGCCGCAGCCGGTGCAGGATGCGGGCGGCCATCGCTGCCGGGGGTCCGGCCCGGCACCGCGGCACGGCGGGGCCGGGGGCTGCCCACCGCGGCACGGCCCCCCGCGGGGACAGCCCGGCCCCGGGACAGCCCGGCCCCGGGACAGCCTCCCGCTGCTGCCCCCGCCCCGCTCCGCTCGCGCTGCCCCGGGCCGAGCCGAGCCGAACCGGGCGCTGCCGAGCGATGGCCGCTCCGCCACGGCTCGTCCCGGGATCCTCCCTGCGCGGCTCCGCCTCCGCCGGGAACCCGGATCGGGGCGGCGGAGCCGGCACCGCCCGGCACGGCCGGGATCGGGATCAGCGCTTGCGGCGCCGGCCGGCACCATCGGGATCGGCTCTCCCAGCACTGCCCGGCACGGCCGAGATCGGGATCGGTCCCTGCAGCACCGCCCGGGACTCTCGGCTCAGGGTCAGGGCTCAGCCGGGCTCTGCCCGCAGCCCCTGCCTAGGAACCGACCCCGCCCTTCCCCGTCTCGGTTCCTCTGTCCCCTGTCCGGGATGTCCTGGTCGGGCCGGGATTTGCCGGATATCTGCCCTGTGCCCACAGGACCCCCACACTCCAGTGCTCGGCGCTGTGGTGTCCCAAGGTCTTGATACCCCAATACCCTGGCATCGCTGTGCCCTTACAAGCCGGTTCACCGACACCCTTGTATCCTGCTACCCAGACTCAGGCTCCTCATCCCACTGGGATGTCCTCTGGGCCATCTTGGCACCCTGCCCTCCTGGCCTCAGTCGGCCTCCTCGCCACGGGCCCCATGGCCAGGCTGCACCTCCAGCACTTGCCTGGCCTTTTTTAGAGCCTGCCCGCTCACTCCTCACTGCTTCCTTGGGAATGTCTATAAATATCGAGGAAGCAGCCCAGCTGCTGCCATCACTCTGTCCATCGCTTGTTCACTGTGTCCTGTTCCAGCACCCTGCACCTCACCCGGGCTCAGATGGGACCCCTGAGCTTCCCTGAGCAGGGTGGGATGCACTAGGGGCTGGACTTGTTCCCCGTTCCCACCTGGTGAATGGGGGTCCCAGCAAAACCAGGAGCCAGGAAACCCCTGGGCGTCCCTGGCACTGGGACCTTGTGGGACAGAGATGTGTCACCCTGACCCCCCTGCAGCCCTGAGACTCTGAGCGCCACAGGGCATGGGCCACTTGGCCAGTGCGTCCCCAGAGCCACCAGCCCCAGCCGGTCCTGGCAGCAGTGGCTGGCACAGGCTGTGAGTGTGAGGACTGAGCCTTCGAGGAGGCACCGGGCATAATTCCCACTCCTCAGAAGCACGAAAAGATGGACCTATTTCCGGAAACAGATGCCAACAGCACTGGGGACCCCAAACCATGGGGCTCATGCTCCAAATCTCTCCAGGGACTTCATGCCCTGGGTCCCACTGGGAACCCCTTCCTTATCTGGGGTGGGGGGCGGCAGCACTGCTCTGCCTGGGCCTCTTGGAGCAGAAAATTGGGGTGCAGGGGGTGGGACGCCGTGCTGGGGGAAACCAGCTTGGTATTGGGAGCTTGGGTCAGGAAGGGCTGCATTTTCACGGGCCAGTGGGTGATAGTCCATGCCCCTGAGCAGGGGGGATCCTGTCCCCCTTACCCGGGTGATGCTGACGTCTCCAGGGCTATTTTTAACCCCCTCATTGCTGAGTTGCCTTGGATGGGGGTGTTGGGGGTGGGCAGAGCTGCGCTCCTGCCACAGTTTTGATCTCCCTCCTGAAGGGCTTGAATTTCCATCCCAGCCTCATCCCCACGTTAATCCCAGCCCTTGGCCAATAAAGCTTTGGCTAAATTAGGTAAAGGCACCAGTTGCCAGTGAGAGGGGCTGGATGCTGCCAGAGCGCTGATAGGCTGAGGGGGCCAGGGGGCCGTAGCTGGAGGAACATCCCACAGAGGAGACACTACAAATTGGGGTGCCAGGGGCACCACGAAGCTTCTGGGAGTTCCTGCTGCAGGAGCTGGTGATTCTCTGGGGTTGGGAAACCCAATAAATTCCCAAGATGGTAAGCATTCCTGTGTGCTGTGTGCCATGTGCTGTGTGCCAGGACAAGACCTGACTGGGCAGGAGGCACCAGGGAGGTCTGGGCTGTGGAGGTGCCTCTGCAGAAGGCAGCAGGGATATGGTCCCCAGTGCTGGGCTGGCCATGGCAGTGAGGACAGGGAAGCGTTGGGATGGTGCAGGGTCCCCGCAGGACAGATCTGAGGGTGAGTGCGTGGCTGCTGAGGGGTGCAGGTTCCTGGGGACACCATCTCAGCCCTGTTTGGAGCTCAGAGCTGCACAGAGGCAGGGGTAGCAGGGGTGGCTGAAAGCCGAGTGCTGGGTCATGCGACACAGCGTTGCTGCTGGCTCCACGGCCGGCCTGCGCCTCCAGGAGAAACTCGATCGGGGTTGACAGGTGCCACGGCTGTAGCCCCAGCGATCCCTACAAGGGGAGCTGAGGAGATCCCAAAAATAGCACTGCATGCCCAGGATGCCAAGGCTGTACACAGGCACCATGACCCCAGCACAATGGAGACCCCCGGATTAATGGGAGACTCGGGCAGGCAGCTCCCTGCAGCCCTCCATGCTCATGGGTGCCTGGAAGGCATCAGAACTGTAGGGATTGCTGGTGTCTGTGACTCATGGCAGCACAGGATCATCCTGCAGCAGGGCAGAGGCTCTTTCCACAGCCAAGCACTGTTGGGTCACGCTGTATGAGGGGTCTCTGGCCTGATATGGGTGCCCCTCTCCCTTGCCTTACAGACGGACCAGCAGGCAGAAGCCCGTGCCTTCCTCAGCGAGGAGATGATTGCGGGTGAGTGTGGGGATGGTAGGGACAGGGGCTAGACATGGCCATGGTGCACTGCTCAGAGACCTGACCTGTCTCTCCACAGAGTTCAAAGCCGCCTTTGACATGTTCGATGCTGATGGCGGTGGAGACATCAGCACCAAGGAGCTGGGGACGGTGATGAGAATGCTGGGCCAGAACCCCACCAAAGAGGAGTTGGATGCCATCATTGAGGAGGTGGACGAGGATGGTGAGCAGCCCTTGGTGGCTGGTGGCAGGGGTGGGTACTGGATCCTGGGCAGGCAGCCTGACCCACGCTTGGCTTCCTCCCCACAGGCAGCGGCACCATCGACTTCGAGGAGTTCCTGGTCATGATGGTGCGCCAGATGAAAGAGGATGCCAAAGGCAAGTCTGAGGAGGAGTTGGCCAACTGCTTCCGCATCTTTGACCGGTGAGTGTGGGGGCGAAGTGGCCCATCCTGTCTGTGGGGGCGAGCAAGGTCGCATCCCTCCCTCACCCTCCTGCAGGAATGCAGATGGGTTCATTGACATTGAGGAGCTGGGCGAGATCCTGAGAGCCACTGGGGAGCCTGTCACTGATGAGGACATAGAGGACATGATGAAGGACTCAGACAAGAACAATGACGGTCGCATCGACTTTGATGGTGAGCAATGGCCCCAGACAAGCACCCATGCTGTGCACCCAGGCAGGGCCACGGGCTGAGGCTGCTGCTCTCTTGCAGAGTTCCTGAAGATGATGGAAGGTGTGCAGTAAGGGACCAGACATTCCTCAGGCCAGCTGCTGCACCCAGCCCTGCTCCTCTGCTCTCCAGGGAGCAGCAGCTCCACAGCATCTGGCCCTCAGCACTGGCTGGGACCTTGCTCCATGCCAGGGTCCTGGTCTCATCTCACCACCGGCGGCTGAGCTTTTCCTCCCACCTGTCACCTGTGGCTTTGATTCGAGCCTCAATTAAAGAGGAAAGGCTTGAGCTGCTGGTGCAGGATTTCACTGGGGGTGCATGGGGAGGGGGCTGTGGCAGTGTGCCCCTGCTCTGCTCCAGGGAGGGAACGTGGGCGGGCTCACGCCACAGGGAAGTGCTGCAGGAGCAGCCCAGAGTTGTGGTTCCCACGGCCTCTTGGGCAGGCGCCAGTGCTGAGCTCAGAGTTTCCGTGCAGAGCAGCTCGTTCACACGCCAGAGGGTGGCCCTGGCCCCGAGAGTCCCGCTCCAGGGCAGGGCTGTGGGACTACAGGGGTTCTAGAGAGCCACCACTGCCCGCCCCACATCTCCCCCCAGAGGACCTGGCTGTAAGGTGGAAGGACAGGAGCAGCCCCCTCCCTACAGGGGAAAGGTGGCACTTGTCCCTGTGGCCCTCTGTGAAGAAGGCTGTGCTAGCCTGCTGGCAATCACAGCTCCCTGGGGACCAGCTGGGGTGGAGCAGAGCAGGGGGGAAGAGGCGGGGTACAGTCCCCAGCCAGGGTGGGTGGTACACCGAACCAAAACACAGCTCAGAGCTGCTCACAAACCCAAGCACAGCACTGTGGCACAGAGCGGCCAAGCCCCCTGGAGAGCCATCGGCCACCGTGGGCATCCCGAGCCTGCCTTTTCACTGGGCATAATGGCACCAGGCAGAAGGGACGCGTGCCGCGGGCGGGGGGCAGTGGGAACATGTGCCACAGCCCAGGCTGCCCTCTGCAAGGCCACGGCCGGACACCGGCAGCTGGTGCTGCAGCTTGGGGGGAGCGGTGACAGCCCTCGGCTGCGTGAGGAGCGGCGCAGGAGGAGCGCAGAGGCCCGTGAGCTCAGCATGGGTAAGGAGGGAACTGCTGTACCGGGCAGGAGCCCACAGGGGCCAAGGAGGGGCTCCAGGGCCGCCCCAGCTCACACGCCTGTCCCACAGGGCTGCGGCGGACGCTGCTGGCGGGGCTGCGGCAGGGCCCGGCGAGCCCTGCGGAGAGGCAGGAGCTGGAGCGGCTCTGGGTGCTCTTCCTCTCTGCCCTGGAGCTCTTCCTGCAGGACCTGTACAGAGCCCAGCGCCTCTGCCAGCTCTTCTCCATGCAAGGGGGTGGCGTTGCCCCGCTGCGCACTGGACTGGGGGGCTGGGGGCTGCCCAGCCGGCGAGGAGGGGGTCCCACACAGCCCCTGACCGCCCAGTGCTTGGAGGAGGAGATCGAGCAGGTGAGGGCCACGCTGGCAGAGATGGAGAGCAGAGCCAACATACCACCATGGACAGTGGAAGCCACAGAGACCACACTGCCAGCAGAGACAAGCGGCACCACACAGAGAGCAGCTTGGGGCGGCCCCTGTGCTGGGCACTGCTGTGGGGTGCTGTGAGCTAGGGGGGCAGGAGATAGCAGCAAAGGTGACACCCCTGTCACAGAGCAGGAGACAGAGGTACCCCTAAAGTCCTCAACCCTGCCTTTGCAGGTGATGGTGGGGGCTGCTCCCCCCCTGTACATGGAATGGAATTGCTCCATGCCCCCAAATATTGATAAAGCATCCATTACCCCACAGGGATCAGTATCCCTTCCACCCTTCCTGCCCACACTTGCAGAGGGGCCTCTGGACACTCAGGGTGTGCTAGAGCTGCCACAGAATCCCCTGCAGAAGTTATAAACCTGCATTTATTTATACATTACCGTGGCTCGGACTGCGACATTAATTTAAAAACAGCCTATGATACAGAATGCGGGGGATGGCCGGGAGGGAGGGGGTGCGTTGAGGGGTGGTGGTGATGGTCAGGTCTCCTGGCTCTTGGTCTGCTTGTTGTATGTCTCCCGCACATACTTCTTGTAGGCTGAGGAGAGAGAGAACATGACACCAAGGGCCCTGAGGCAGTGGCCAGGGTAGCTGTGGGGCCAGACAGGCACTGGGGGCTGTGCTGCTGCCCATCCCAGTGGGGAAGGGGCAGGAGGGTTCTGCTCCAGGCACTCACCGACTTGGTTGTTCCAGAGCTCGGCAGCATGTGTGTTCAGAGGGCTCTCGATGTTTGGCTCTGGAAACAGTGGCTGGGTTAGCTGGTGACCTGGACACCCTTGAGCCCTGATCTGGGTTGGACAGCCCCACCACCACCACCCCTTCCCCCAGCACTCCACAGCAGTTTGTCCGTGAGACCCACCTGCCAGCAGGCTCTGTATGGAGAGCAGGATGGTGCGGACATCATACAGCGCTGACCACTTTTCCTTGAGGATGTCGAGGCAGATGTTGCCCTGGGTGTCGACGTTGGGGTGGTAGCAGGGGGTCAGGAACCGCACGGTGGGTGCTGTGTAGGGGTACCCGCTGGGGAACTCCAGTGACAACTTGTACCGCAGCTCCTCATAGGCCTGGGGGTGAGAGTCAAGGGGGACAGGAGTCAGGGGGGGCCGTAGCCCCAGAGGTGTGGGGAAGCCTCGGGGAAAAAGAGGTACAAGGGCAATGGAGGGCTAGGACCACCCTCAGCTGAAGGGAGGAAGGTGGGGCAGGGTCAGGGCCACCCCAGACCGGGATCTCGCCTCTCACCGTTCCGGCGGCGCCGTCAATGGTCCCGATCCACTTGAAGAGGTTGTCGGACTCGGGGAAGGCAGAAATGCCTTTGTCACCGGACATCTGCGGGGGCAGCGCGTCAGGGCGGCCCGGGATACCCCGAGACACCCTCCCAACCCAGTTCAGCCCCAGGTGCCTTTGGGACCCCCAAACCCCGACTCGGCCCCGGGGCCCCACTCACCATCAGTGCCATCAGTTCTTGCTGCAGCCTGCGGAGAAAGCGCACGTTACCGGCCGGCTCACCGGGGCCGCCCCCGCCCTCAGCCCCGGTCCCGGTTCCGCTCACCTCTTCCCCACCGCGCCGCGGGCCGCCGTGGCCCCGGTCTCAGCCGCTTTGCGGGCGGCTGCGCTGGACACGGCGGCGGGGTCGGCGTTCTGTGAGGCCATAGCGGCTCCCGGGGCACGGACCAGCACACTGGCACCGGCCGCCGCTGCCGGCGGGTCACGGGCGGGACGCGGCTCCCGCTCCCGGGCGGCGCCGCACCGGACTCCGCTGGCTCTTCCCCTCCCTCCCGCAGTCCCGCTCGGGGCAGGACTCGGGCCCCTCTGCGGCTCTGCCGGTGCCGAGCGCTGGTCAGGGCTCCCCTAGGGGGGCTCCCCGGTGCCGAACGGCGGCGCTTGGGGCTCTCCCGTGAGGCGGCGGCCCGATCCCAACCCCGTTCCAGACGCCCTCCGATTCAGGAGCGGCTGAGTGCCAACCCCTCTCCGGTGCAGGAGCGGCTGGGTGCTAACCCCTCTCCGGTGCAGAGCGGCTCGGTCGCAGCCCCGCTCCCGGACACTCCCCGGCACGCTCGCCCCGCGCGGCCCCGCCCGCTCCCGCGCCCCGTTTGAATATTCCCACGTGCGCCCCCCCGCCAATCAGCGCGCAGCCCTGTTCGAGCCGGCCAATCACGGCCCGCCGAGGATGCAGCTCCCACGGTAACGGCCAGCGGCCGCCGGCAGTGACGCTCCACGCTCTGATTGGTCGCTGCCCCGCGGGTCCCGCCGGCCCGGACGCGGCCGGAGCCCGGTGCCCGGCCCCGGGGAGCGGCCCGAGCCCGGTGCATGGCCCCGGGGAGCGGCCCGAGCCCGGTGCCCGGCCCCGGGAGACGGCCCGAGCCCGGTGCCCGGCCCCGGGGAGCGGCCCGAGCCCGGTGCCCGGTCCAGGAAGCGGCGAGCTGGGAGCGAAGCGGCTTTATTGGGGGGCCTCAGGGTTCGGGGGGGTCCTCGGGGGGCGGCACGTCCCCCCCGCGGCGAAGCGTCTCCATGTGCTTCTGCATCTTCTCAGTCATCCAGGCTGGTGGGATGAAGGGCTTCAGCTCTTCCAGCCGCAGATCAACAGAGTCCCTGCGGAGGAAGGAGGGTGACGTGGAGGGACTCAGCACCCACTGCTGACCCACCATGTCCCCTGGCACACATCAGTACCAAGCCCAGACCCACCAACCCACCATCAGTACCAGGCCCAGACCCACCAAACCCACCATGGATCTCAATTAGCACTAAGCCCAAACCCACCATGGACCCCCAACCAACACCAAGTCCCAACCTTAGTTGCCCAACATAGCCCCGTGGGCACCAATCCCCAACCATAACCGAGCCCCCCAACCACCATGCACAGAGAGTTCCTCCAGCACGGGATGTCTCTGCAATGTAGCACTGAGGCAGGACATGGTGGGGGCCCCCCCAAGAAGCAGCCTCAGGCCCAGCAGCACTTACAGAATTTCTGCTTCGGTCCTCACCTGTAATCCTCACTGGCGGCCAAATCCCGAATGTCCTCTTCAATGAGGAGGTAGGCCTGTGGCACAAGGCGGGGGACACCTCAGGGTGCCTGCGAGGGGCAGCCAGGGCAGCGCCACACCCCCCAGCCACCACTGTCCCCGTGGGAGCCAGCCCCATGCCCCAGTCCTGTGGGAGGGGACGGACCTTGGCAGCGCCGTGTCCCCGTGCCCTGCCTATCCTCCTGCCACCGCCGCCTGGCCCTGCGGCGGGCCCTGCGCCCGGCCGTACTCACCATCTTGCCCCCAATGGCCCTCATGTGCTGCTGCTCTGTCAGCCAGTGCTTATCCTGCGGGTCGGCTGCGTACTGCAATAAAGCAGCAAGGACCGAGCTGAGAACGGGTGACAGACCCTCCCCTGAAAGCCCCGCTCTGCTCTGCCCCCGCTCCGCCTGCCCTGCTCCAGCCTCAGCCCTGGCTCTGCCAAACCTGCTGCCTTGGCAGGCATGCGACACCACTGGTTAGTGCTGTGTGCTAGCCAGACCTTGGGAACACGATCCAAGACAACAAACAAGGGCATGGGGGAGGCAGTAAACAAGGGAGCAGAAACACACATTCCTAATTCCCATGGGAAACCATCTGGCTGTGGCACCTGACCTTAAAGAGGTGGGGATGCTTGATGTAGAGTCGCCCTCTTGTTCCTCCCATCCCGAGAGCTCTGCAAGAGGAACATGAGGGGCGTTAGGGTTGTGGGGAGGGCAGCTGCAGCGGCACAGGGACACCCCTCTCCTCCCCAAGCCCTTCCTACTGCTTTTGAGGCAGAGAAGCGAAGTGACGGGAGGAGTGTCACGGGCTCCTGCCTGGGGACACCACCCTCCATCGACAGGGCCGATCCTTACTTGTTTGCTCGAGATCCCAGCACAAAGGTTGTGGTTTCAGTCAGTCGGGATGGATCCCACTACAGAGCAATTGGAAAAGGGGCAACATTAGAAATGAAGTTGCTGCTGGCCATGCTCCACAAGCCTCGGCTCTCTCACAGGGAACCTTGGAGCTGTCTCCAGACTGGGAGGGAGGGAGCTGGCCAATGACCTCCAGCCTTCCGCAGGGGAGGGACGTTACATTCTGTCTGGGCTGATCTAAGCAGTTTCCCTCGTGGGAAACACTTGTGGGATTCTCCTGGCTACTCCCGGTCTCCTCAGGCCTCCCTCAGCGGCACCACACCACAGGTGCCTGGGGAGACCAGCAAAGGCCTCCGGGCACTTCGCTTCCTCTTCTTGCTCCCGCCCTGCCCAGGGCCCCAGCAGGGCAGGGCACAGCCCGCGCTGTCCTGCGCTCCTGCAGCTGCAGGGCTCTGCTGCTGGGAGCAAAGGGGAGGAGAGAGGGAGCCCAGCAGTGTCGGACAGCTAATACCTTTGGTCCATCCCTTTTCACAGGCTCAGAGACTTTGAGCTTCCACCTGAGGGGAAGGAAAACACAGTAAGAATGAGTCCCAATGGGATCAGCTTAGTCACCAGCAGTAGCAGCAACTGAGCTCAAACCCTTCCAAATCCACCACTTTTCACACCCTCCATTTCCCCACAGCGCCCAGCTTTGGACCTTCAGCTTTGCTGCACATTGTCCTCTCCTGGTTGCCCAGATCCCCCCACCCCCTGTGTCTCACCACTCGCTCCGGATGGTCCATCTGGACCTTTTCACCCCTTTGGGCCTATTTAAAATCCCTCCTTTTAAGGTCTTTGAATCCTGAGGGGAACACCTCAACCTAACCCTGCTTCTGCCCATACCCAGAAGAGCTCCCATTACTTCTCCGTAGGAGAGGAGTCTGTGGGGTTTCTGTGCTCCCCACAGGCAGCCTCATTCCCCCTGCCCTCCCAAAACAGGGGCTTTAGCTCAGGGTTTGTACTCACGCTGCCATGCCTGAGACTCCACGGTCATTTGACAGGCTCTGTCCTGGAGGCCGCCCCTTCCTCTGCATGGAAGAAATCCTTCTGTGACTCAGCTGTGCTGCCTGAGGGAACCCTCTCAGCAACCCTCCCTCTCCCAGGGAAGCTGCTTCTTTTGTCACAGGCAAAAACACTGCCTGTGCCAGAGTGAGCGCCTCCAATGCCTCAAAAAAGCTGTCTGTGCACCTCCATGCACTCACACTCTGGGAATGGCCAGGAATGAGGGCCAGGCTTCCCAAAACATAAAATCTCTTGTGAGGAAAACCATCCTACCTTTTTTGGAATGGGGCTCCCTCGGCGGCTCAGCTCCTCATCCATCTGTCGGGCACGCTGGAAGGGAAGGGCAGTGGGATGAGCAGGGCTCTTCTCCCTACCTGGCCAGGTGAACACTGACCCCAGCCCATCTCCATGAGCAGCACTGAACTGCAGCAAGCAGCCCCCACACCTGGGATTCTCCTTGCCCTGCATTCCCTTCAAGCCAA